CAACAGCAGCCTTTGTTTCTGTGCTGCTGCTAGGGGAATAAACCTTCAGGGGTTTTGCATATGACAGCTAGAATGAATGCCTGCAAGCAGAGAGCAGCAGACAGCAAGCAAGGTACAGGAGTCTGGCTAGTGCTGCCTTAGAGTGGCCAGTCTTCCCAGGGACTCTTTCTGGGACGGGACATGGTGACAGTTGCTGCCCTGTGGGCCACCAGCTTGAGGCCTGTTACTTCCCAGGTGACAGCTCCATGGCTGGAGCGAAATAAAATAGCTTTCACCTTACCAGAGAGCCTGGGGGCATTGTCAGCTGGATGGAGAGCAAGACAAAGTGGGCAAAGGAACAGATTGGCTTGGCAGCTCCTGCAATTAACACACACACTGGTCTCAATACCATGTGTTTGCATTTAATGGCTTTCATGCTATTTGATTTTTAAAAAGTCATACTGAACTACTCAGCTAGAGCACACCTGGGAATAACAGAAAATACTGTCAACATGCTCAGGATGCTTTTCCCTTTCTCCCCAGGCAGCTCGCAGCCACTGCCTCCTGCTGACACCACTACGGTAGCCCCTCCCTAGCCGCTCCCAAGGCTGGGGCTCTCCCTCTGATGTCAAAGGAGTGCTCAGAACAGGCAGTGCTTCCAGCCCATCTTCATGGCTGCAGTACTAAAACTGCATTCGTGGCCTCTCATGCAGACCCCAGAGCTGGGGAGTTTTACACAGTCACAGATCACAGAATATTCTGAGTCGAAAGGGACCTACGGGTGTTCATGCCGTAGCAGAAGTGAGACACACTGTGTGAAAGTCATTACTATTTGAAGTCTGTCAGATCTGTTTTTCCTGTCCTAAACACTGATGTTTGTCTATCCACATATCTGTGAATATGCTTATTCCACCTATTCTTACCAGCATTTTAGGTAAGCAGGGAATATTGACTACCCTGACTGCATAGCCCTGTGGATGTTGCTCCTCTGTGTATCAGGAGAGGTCATTAAAATTTATTTTGTCACTGTATGTTAATGTTGATCAAGATTCTTATTTCACTTAGACTGGTTTTTTAAAACTGTTTTGCCCTTCAGACAGCTTAAGGATACAGATTACTTCAGAGTAGCAAACAATACAATACTTACCTAGGTTTGATCCATATTTAGAAGTAAGGAGGTTTTTTTCCATAATATAGGCTGCTTGCTGCCCACTTTTGCAGGGGATGTTAGCCTGAACATCTCACTGTAATCATTCCGTAGCACTATAAGATAATAGCAGGGGCAGTTCCAAGAGCACATTTGCAAAACAAAAAGGCTGAAATAGGTCAGTGTGATGCTCCATTGGCTTTTCAAATCCTAGATAAAGCGTAAGAGTTTCAATCCCAAACTGCACAGAGCCAGCCAGAGACACAAACCAATAGCAACACAAACACGCCACCCCAAAACAAAGGGAGAGCCTTTCTAGTAAGCCCTAACAGAATCCAGTCATGCATCACTGAGGTCTGTGCTGGCTGTTTTCATGTGCATCAGGAATTGGGATTTTCAGTTTCTAACGGCAAAAGCTAAAAGAGTAAGAGCAAAGGTAAAAGCTAGAGAAGATTCAGAGAGTGCTGACAGGCATAAAAACCAGAAAGAAGCAATAAAATCACAATAATTAATATGAAAAAGAGCCTGTGACACAATTGGTCTGAGCTGAGTGACAGGGAAACATGCTGTAAACAAGGAATATTTAAAGGGAGAAAAAATTGTGTAAATGTAACTCTGCTCTATATTTTTCAAGTAATAGTTACTTAAAACAACTGAAAAAGTGAGCTGCACTCTGCGCTGGAGCCCTGAAACGCAAACAAAGAGAAATCTAGAATGACTGCATCAGCACACTTCAGCAACAAGTTTTTAAATAAACCTGCTAAAATTTAATTTTTGCAGTTATAAGGCTCCTGGCTGACAGTTACAAGCCACTCATAAATCAATGGAAAGTGTATTTTGAGCAAGCTGGCAGAAACCAGACACAGCAGAAAGGTTCAGTGTATGAGTTAGAGTTGGCACTTCCTTGGCCAACAAAAATGTATAATCCTGTTCTAAAGAGGGCAGAGCAAGACATTTTAACATAGTTCTTAAAGCTACCAGATCCTATTGCATTAAAGAGATGCATTTAAGATTTCTACACTCAAACCAAATTACTGGACAAAACAGATATAGAGGGAGCAGGGAACTTGAATGAGTGCAGGACTGCAAAGGACTTGAAACCAAGCAGCCCAGTGGAAGATTGGGCCTATAGAGAAGGCATCCCTGAAGGCTAATTCCATGCCCAAGAGATGACTGTCCTGGGGCTGCCTCTATATCCAGAGGAAAGCAGCTTCTCTAGAGCTCTGATCAGAGCAGCAGCCTTGGCAGGTGCTCTGAATCACCCATTTTCCTAACCACAGGCCTTTGAGAGTGTCCTCCCAGTCTATAAGGCGCCTGCAATAAAAGTTACTGATTTATCTAATGCCACTTCTCCATTATAGCTGAAAAAGGATTGGGCAGAACATAATAAACAAGACACATGGCCTGTTAATAGTGCAAACATGGCTGAAAAAAAGGGCTTCAGCTTCTCAGAAGCATTAGGGAATGTTCTCAAGAGTATCTACCAGGTCAGTTGCTCAGAAGCATATGATGAAAATGGCTGGACTACAAAGAAACCTTAGAGAATCAAAGTGACATCTCAGAGTAACTCCAACAACAGTCTTTATGAAGATAGTCTGTTGTTGCTAAAAAAGTTTGCTAAAAAGCACAGAATTGTCTCAACTTCTAAGTTTGGTATGATGAGACACAAAGCGAGTTATTTTCATTTCTCCTTCTGAAGCTTTCAGGCAATTCTCAATGGACAGCTGGATCTCCTCCATGCATATTTCAGCAACAGCTATGTCCACTCAATTCATAATTTAAAGAAATACAGTTTTAGTTCCTGAGCACATCCAGCTGAGCATCTCATTAACACCTTGCCAAGAGCATGAGAGAACAGTAACAGCCTTTCATAGGAAAATTCAGAGTGCATCAGCTGCAGCATGAAGTTGTGCTGTGTGAAAAACTACTACCTGGAACAGAAAGCAGCCCTGTTTGTCAAGGATGAAGTGTGGGAGGTAAATAGGCCAGGTGGAGGGAAGTTTACATCACCTCTGCCAGCATAAGGCCAAGTTTTAGTCCATGCTTATTTCCTCAGACCTGGCTGAGGCATGGAACCCCAAACCTTGCCAGCTGGGGAGTCTGAGCACACAGATGTGTGTTATTTACAGTAAAGGCAAAGTGGGGCTAAGATACCTTCAGAGTGTCCGTGACTTACTACAACTGGTCTGCAGTTCACAACCTTTCACAGTTAAAAGCAGATGGACAAAAGTCAAATAGACTCAATGAAGGCAAAATGTATGAACTCACAAAACCAACTTAAACCCCATGCTTGAAGCCATCTATTGTATACCACAGTACTTAAACTTGAATTTACCCTTCCCGATCTATGAAGTCTGAACATCCTGAAATGCAAAAGACCAATTTCAGACCTCATAATCTCCTGCATCCCCCTGTGCCATCTTTGAGGCAACACTTCCCCTCTGAATTTTTTTGTTTTGTTCTGCACAATGTGCATGTGTGACCTCACCATCTGCCTTTTTTCTGAACCAGGACCACCCCTCATTCACTTCAGCAGAATACCTCTTCCACATTGCGTGGGACAGGGACCAAGGTTCCATAAAGGTAACTATTCATCTTTTGACCTGCATCCTAATATGTTTAACATCAGGTAAATAGAACCAAAGTTACAAATCATGAGCATGATTTGTGCTACTCATCCTTTGTATCATGTCAAAGTTCAGAAGGAATTGTCTCATGTCTTCCTTCTGTGAACTGTACTTAAATCAAAAGCAGCACAACCTAGGGCACATTAATGAGGAGAAGGAAGAAAGCACTGCTACTGTAAGAATGAGTTAACACCCTTTTTCCTAGCAGGAAGGAGAGTACTAGTTCAGAATATTCCTCTGAGTATTTTACTTTGCGATGATGGGTTAATTACACAGTCCCTCCACACTCAAGGCAGGAAGGAGAGTACTAGTTCAGAATTTTCCTCTGAGTATTTTACTTTACTTCTTTGCGATGATGGGTTAATTACACAGTCCCTCCACACTCAAAAATCCTGGAGCTTGTCACCCTGTCACAAAAACACTGCACATGTGGAGAGAACTGCTGCCAGCTGCAAGCTCCAGAGCCTACCACACAGAGCCCCTCTGGCTCCAGGCACTATTGCCTGTTTCAAACTCGATGACTACGAAACATTTCAGGAATCATCCAGGTGGCTTCATCAGCAGTGCTGGTGCACACATGCTGTGTGCTGGTTTCCCTCCAGAAAAAGTCATGTTACGGGCTCTGTGGCCTCAACCAGGTGACCAGTCTGAACAGAAGAAGTACACAGGTCATTCCTGCTACATAAACAGAAAGCATCCCTACAGCACATCAAACTCCTCTGTGGAGAGCCCACAACTCTTGGTGGGTTTTCAAGATACAGGTACTGGTTTTCCAAGGCTTCTACTGTCTTTATCCCAGAAACAACCAGATAAGCAACTCAAGAGTTCAGCCAATCCATTCTCCCAAGCTGTTCTGACTTAGAGGTGATAATAACAGCCCAGTGCAACATGACTGCACTTCTTATAAAGAGGTAAAGCTGTAATCCTTCCAAGTGGCAAATCACACTCTCCAAGATGGCTGGATTCAACTATGCACAGCAGACAGAACTGTGCACAGAGCCTGTTCACCAAAACACACAGATGTGTGCTTCAGAAATGCCAAACAGACACCAAAAACCCCACTTACATTCCAGGTAGTATTAACAGGCTTTGTAACCGATGCAATACATTAATTGACTGAAAATGGACACATAGTTCTGGTCAGTTAGCAAACCAGTATTTTTATATATGTTTTCTTTTGGATATGTGAAATCCTGTTGAAGGTTAAAAACAACAAAACCAACCACAAAATCAGGCAGACACCTAGATACAGCTTCCTCTCAATTTGTTTTATTTGGCAAAGTAGCAATTCAGACAGTTCACACAGCATTTAGTCAAGCTCTTCAAGTCTTCTGCATTTCAACTTGTCCTTGTCTCCAAGTTTTTTACTTCAGAACCATTGCTCCATCATGGAGGAGTTTCCATTTTCGACTCCTAAATGCTACTCCTGGATACTCCTTTCTGTCAGAGTACCTTGACTGTCATCAGCCCCTTCAGTGGAATGGGTGCACTAATCCCACCAGCCTTGGTCCCTGAAGCCTTACACCTCCTGAAGTGGTTCTCCCCCAGGAAGCTGTCATCGGGTCTCAGCTTTAACACCACTTCCAAGTCAGGCTAGCTTATTAGACTGTGTCCAGAGACAGGAATTTGGATACAGTTGAGCTCATATCTTTCATTTAACTGATTAAATTAGTGAGAAGATGTAAATAAAGCTGAACTCAAACTGAAAGATACAGCGACCAAAAGGTTGAACGTTAGCATGCATCAGTTATTTCACTTCAACACCAAGAACTAGAGTCACAGTTGATTGTGGGTTAGTACAAATTTGTCAGACGCAAGTGGATTTTTCTGGATTGTATTTTCTAGAATATGCACTATATTAATTTCTTTATAAGATTAATCTTGTGCATGTGCTCCCAGGCTGCAGTCAGATCAGGAGGTGGTACATTAACTTCCAAACATCTAAATAAATTAAGTCCCATAGTATCTTTCACAGAGGAACAAAATGGGGCTGGCCTTCAAAAGGCAGGTTATTTAAAATGTTCCTTTTCCGTATTCAGAGGCCTTTGAATTATAACCTTTATGCTTTCAGGGATTAATCCTATCACAAAATTATTCCTCTTCCACCATAGGAAGTTGTTTTGGGCTTTTTTCCAGTGATCACTATGGGTTGTTTTATTCTGAAATCCTTCCTATCATTAAAAAAAAAAAAAAAAAAAAAAAAGGATAATATGCTGTTTACTTTAATTCTGGTTCGTTCAAATATGAGCAAGATCACTGAAGACACACTTCCCCCCTTTCCCAAAGCAGCCCACCTTAGTGTACTGCTTCCTAATTTGCTGTCAACATTTTACACTACCAGAACACAAAACTTACATGAGAAAAAAAGGTTTATAGCCTTCCAACTATTCTTCTATACGAAAACTGAACAAGTGCATCTATGTGTACTTAGGAGTCCAGGATTCTTTCTGATGCATTCCTTTTACAGCAATTTAGAATTCACTTTTTAAAAAGCCAGAATTTTTCCTGGGTGCCCACAATTATAAAAACAAGAATCTTAATACATCAAATGGCTTTACCAGAAGCAACTTTCTTTTGGAACCAAAGGGGGTTTTTGGCTTTTAATAAAGAACCTAGCAATCCATATATCAGACTACCTATCCATCCTAATCTTCCACACAAGCACAAAACCCCCTTTTGCTTTTAAATTTGCTTGGCAAAGCAGCATTGTGTAAATTATTCAGTGATTGGAACACAGCTCACCTCACATTTATGGAGTTAGCTCCATGTGTATCACACCAGCACTGAGCCATAAACCACAACAGAATTTCAAGCTTACATTAATCAGTTTTAGAAGGAAAGGGAAAACCATGTCTGTTATGTCCAGTTTGAACAGCAATGTTTGATAAGAGCAGCCACCTACCTCTGATGTCTTGAAATTTAATATATACAAATGCCTGGTTTTAAGGTAAAAAAGCAGCTGATTGTATCTACTACATGCTAGTCTATGACACCATGTCAAAAGCTTAGAAAGGAAGTTCATCTCCTTTTAGTAGCATCTAGCAGACGTTGGAACACAGAAAACCTGGTATTACCTACATAGTGTCGTAAGGTGCACAGAAGCGTTTTACCAAGGGACACAGGAGCCGAGAGAAGTGAGTGTTCAAGTTCCCCCATCAAAATCAGAGTTCACAAGCTACAGGTCTTTATCTGCAGTTTTGCAGAAATTCACTTTGAACAGATGAAAGTGAAATAAAGGCATGTTAAATAAAACAGTGCCCACATAAAACTTTCCACCATTTCTTTATCAGATTTGCCTTGAGCATCTAAAAAAATAAAACAAACACCACGCTTTTCCATGCTGATAACAACAGTATAACGAAGTCCAAAACAAGCTGCAATGCTGTTGGTTTTCAAAAAGCTTTTAGAACGGGAGATGAGCAGTCCACTGTAACACTATGTTTGGGTCAAGATGATGTAGCTTTTACAATTCATCCCTGTAGAAAGAAAACACATGCAGTTATGTTTCTTCTCCCCTTGGAAATGGTATTTGAAAAGTTTTGATATTGAATCAGGTTACATTTAAGTGCTCACGCACATCAGCAAAACTTTAGAAATCACTTCAAGCATTTGAGAAAAAAAACACCAAAGGAAAGGCAACAGCAATCCCATATCATCTCATACTACTATGTGACTTATTGTGAAAGTTTAATGGATCACTTGCTTTAAGGAAGCCCCCCCCATATTGCACAGCTGGTAACACAGCTACCTGCCATCTGTATTCTGCTGGCTACACACTGGCAAGCAACTGAGCCAACTTACTAGACAGAGTATTGGCAAAACCCATCCTCTGTAGTTGCCAAAAAGGCAAGTTTAGCTTCAGCTGCAGTCTCTCAAGAAAGTGGAAACAGTCTTGCATCCCTGTTATGCAGTCTGTACCAGTTAGTTTATTTATTTCTCAGAGGAACTCGATTAGCTCCTGAAGGAGCTACAATAAATCAGGAGTAGGTGGTGGAAAGGCTGGGGGCAGGACAGTGTGTGCGAGCTAAAAGGAGATTAGTTAGGAGAAGGATGAATCAATAAGTCTCTCTAAATCACTGAAAGCAATCTAGAAAATGCAGAGGTTTGTTCCTGTAGGACATTTAAAACACATTGAAACAAGAAACCCATAGAACCTATATTTCAACCACAAAGTGATCATACAGTAGTGATTTAAGTATTTCTAAAGCATTAATTTTAATGCAAAACACCCATCAAATCTGAAAGCTGTGCATTGTGCCACTCTGAGCACTGGAAAACTCAAAGAGAAGTGTTTTGCCTCTTTTTTTTTTTGACGAGGCACAAGCAATCTACAAATTCAGAATTAATTTGCTGCAATTTTTCTTTTAGTAGGTGCATCAGCCTCATCAGCCGAAGCAAACCGTGTCTGAATTAGAAAAAAACTCAGTAATGTGATTGCTGGCTCAATACACAATAGTATTTCCAGCTATCATGCAAACTAACCCACAAAAATATAGTTCTACATGCACACATACAAAACCTTTAAGTTTCAAAGACATTATTAAGCTCCAGGAATCATACAGCATGGAATGACAGCATGCAAAACATTTTAAAAGCAACTGAAAAGGCTGTAGAAACTAGTGCTTAAATGACTAGTTTTCTATCTAATGCAGCTGGGATGCAAACGTTGTGATTTGTAAGTGATAAATATTTGCATTCTTTGCACTTTGCACTGCCTCCTAATAGTAAAGTACTAATCACACAGCTTTAGAGCACTGCAGTAATTACACACAGCAGAAAAAAGCAGAAGTTGGAAGAACACATCTTGGCAGGGATAAAGAAAAATCTGTTTATAGCTAAAGGTTTGGAAGCTCTCCGTATTTGCCTGTCTCACAGAATGGGTATTGCTTACTTTAAACAGATAAAAAGAAATTAACATCTGATACCCAGTTTAAAATGCAGTGCCAGTGAATTCAGGACAAATGCTTCATTCATCCCTAACACTTCCAGGAGCTGCATCATCAGTTAATTTTTACAACTTCAAGAAGTGTGTGTAAGTAATGACTACTGCTGTTGCTGGCTTAGTCTCATATGCCTAATTGTGGGTGTGATTTTTATCCTGATTCCTACCACACACTCACAGCTTTATAAAACCCTGCTCTTTTACTGTGACAAGCAATTCATAATCCTTCAAATACAAGGCAGATCCTCAAGAAACTATAAGCCTAAGAAACATTACGTATTTACCTTGAAACTATTAAACACAATGATTCTACCTAGCCACAGATGTTAGCAGGGCTTTTGCATAATGTTGCTAACGCATTTAAGGTATTTAAAGTGTGGGGTTGTTTTTTCTTTTCCAAAATGATATTTCTACTTAAAACATATAAGTATTATATAAATATATAATTTAAAATAAATTACATTAGCATGGCAATGTTTTAATTGTTGGTAGTTTTCATTGCTTTAACATATTCTTGACCACTACATCCTGTATGTGACATTCAAAATAAGGATTTTCATATTTTATTTTTTAGAACATTTACTGTATTAAGGGGATCAGCTTTCCTCAAGAGGTTTTTCACTTGCTCTTCACTAGTCATTAATCTAACATCAGCATGCCAGCCCAAACCAATCCCTGACATAAGTGTTAAAATTATACAGCATTTATTTTCTACAGATAGAAGTTGAATTTATATGTGCATTATTGGGCTGTATGTATTAGAAAGTGCCAGAACAGTCTCAGATCACCTGATAGGTAACAGTTGCCAGCTTTCTCCCTAATGTAGCACAGCTTGCAGACATAAATACATATTGCAAACCAGCGTCAGCTCACCTGAGCTGATCCTGTATGGATCAGAAACTGCCAGGCTATGAAATCCACCAGGTCTGAGCGACTGGTAAGAATCAGGATAATTATCCTATCCTCCCAGTGGTACAACAAAATCTATCCTGCTGCAAAGCTTAAAAAGAGACTCAAAAGATTGCTCTTTCCTTGTTAAAACTATCCTGTTGTCCTCTAGAGCCACAGAAAAGATCTACTGATTTGTATTCTTTCTGGCCACAGCTATTTACTGTGACTCTTACACAACTCACGTAATTTCTCTCCACCTTCATATATGCTCTCCTTCTAATCTGCTTACCAGCTCCTGCTTAGCAAGCAATATATATATTTAGGGTTTAAGTCACCACTGTAGCCCTTCTCAGACTTTTGGAATTGCAGCAAGAGAACCACTCATCTATCAGCTGAGGCATCAAAGCAACTTTGTAAGCTCAAGTTAAAGCAAATTTCAGAAGTCATTAGCTTAAGGTTACTATTCTTGAAAAAAATGTAAGAAAGTTTGAAAAATTTTCGCTTGCTACTAGGGAAAAGATATACGTGAATACTCTACACTTCCCATTATGAATATCCAACAAAAAAAACCAAGAAAAATTCTCAGAAAAAAATCTAATGTGCAGCTTTTCAGGTAAATTACAAACTATAAAGAATCAATAATCATATCAACAATACGTTTGGGATACAAGTAACTCATGCAGCTTTGTGATCCCTCACTGCCACTTTAGTGAAAGGCATTCAAATTAAATATTTGAACAAACATTTGTAAATCTATCTGTAGTCTGTATCTCACTCTTTTAGATCCACTTCAATTTTCTTGTTATTAGGCAGCATTTGACTTTCCCTTCTCAATACATCATTTATCTATGAAAAACATGTTGTCATTACTGACAGTGAAATTCAGAGTATAGCCTTTTATGAATTAGAAATACAGCATCTACTCAGTGTTTCAGCAGCCCATTATTTCTCACTTTATAACTTTAAAGATGCAATATTTCGACTTCCAGCATTTTAATGTGGAAAGGTGCTATTATAAAATATTTATTATTTGCTATGATCAATCATAAAATTGAGAATAAATTGAAGGGATAAATTTTTTTTCTGTAATCTACTGTATCAGGTATATCACATACACTTTTACATAATTATATTGGGTTTGTCTGGCAAGGTTTTGGTAGTGGTTGGGGGGGTGCTGAAGGGGTGGCTTCTGTGAGAAGCTGCCAGAAGCTTCCTCCAGGTTCTACAGAGCCAACACCAGCTGGCTCCTAGACAGACCCTCCACTGGCCAACACTGAGCCAGTCAGGAATGGAAGCAACGCCTCTGTGGTAACACATTCAAGAAAGAAAAAAGTTTTTTTTTATTGTAATATATATATTTTATTGCAGAGAAGAGTAGGGTGAGAACAGGTGAGAGGAACTGCAGACACCCAGATCAGGGGAGGAGCAGGAGCTGCTCCAGGTGCTGGAGCTGAGATTCCACTGCAGCCCCTGGTGCAGACCATGGTGAAGCACCTGTGCCCCTGCAGCCCATGGAGGATCACAGGGATGCAGAGATCCACCTGCAGCCCCTGGAGGAGCCCATGCTGGGGCAGGTGGATGCCTGAGAGGAGGCTGTGACCCTGTGGGAAATGTGCTGGAGCAGGCTCCAGGCAGGGGCCTGCAGGCCCATGGAGAGAGGAGCCCACACTGGAACAGGTTTCCTGGTAGGACTTGTAACCCTGTGCAGAACCTACACTGGAGCAGGCTGTGCCTGCAGGACTGCATCTCAAGAACAGTGACCCACCTTGGAGCAGTTCATGAAGAACTGTAGCCCACAGGAAGGACTCATGCTGAAGAAGTTCAGAAAGAACTGTGTCCTGTGGGAGGGACCCCACACTGAAACAGAGGAAGGACCCCTCTCCCTGAGCAGCAGCAGGAAGAATGTGTGACTAACTGACTGTAAACCCCATTCCTTGCCTCCTTGCACTGCTGGGGGGCAGGACATGGGGCTAGGAAGGAGGCAGAAGGGGTGCAGGAAAGGTGTTTTGAAGGTTTGTTTTGCCTCTCATTATCCTGTTTTGATTTTGCTTGGCAATAATTTCAATTAATATCCCCAAGTCAAGTCTGTTGTACCCACGGTGGTAATTGGTGAGTAATCTCTGCCTGTCCTTAAGTCACGAGCCTTGCATTGTATTCTCTCTCCTCTGTCCAGTTGTGGAGGGAGCAGTTTTGGTGAGCAGCTGGCATTCAGTCAGGGTCAAATCACCTTGATACATAATTCATAATTCTTAAATTTAACCTAAAATGTTTTGTGTAGAGATTCTTTTTGCCAAAGTAAAATAAAAACTTAAACCATAATCATTACTCTGCATGGCCTGAGGAATTCCAGCAAACAATACCTGCTAATTTCAAACTAGATTGATCAACTAGCTCATCAGGAGCACTTGTAACACTGAATAAGAGTTTCTAAGCAGAAACACATTAAAATGTATCCTAATAAATACATTTTCCAAAAGGGTGTTAATCATGGTTTATGTACAGATAAGTGGGATAAAGTAACAGCCCCAGTTTAGTCACTGAAGTTTTTCTTCAGAAAGGTCATACTGTCATTATAATTTTGTATTTTATCAGCAAATATAAATTCAGCATGACATTTATAAATAATTTCTACTAATACAATATGTAAGACAAAAGTAGTTGTTAACATTTTTAAAAAGCTGTCCATCTGGAAATCAAATCCAAAATGCAAGAGACTCATGGCTGTTATTTACATTGTTACTCTCTTATGCCTCTGTATCAGCAGCAGCATGGCCAGCAGGACAAGGTTTAGTGGCTCTTAGGATCAGGTTTAGTGGTGGACTTGCCAGCACCAGGTTAACTGCTAGACTCAATGACCTTAAATGTGTTTTCTATCGTAAATAATACCACGATTCTGTAACACTTACAATTGTCTTTCCACATAAATAGTAAGTGAAGTAGTAAGTTTTATTTCACATAGAAATAAAACCAGAGAGATCCTAATTTATACAAGATCTGCCCATAAGGCATCCATCAAGCCATGTTCCCAACTGTGCTACACAAGAGGCCCTCTCTCCATACTATTTTTTCAGTTAAAAACCCAAAACAATCTAAGTTTTATGTGAAAGGATACCCTTATCCGTATAATCACATAACTGGGCATTGACTGCTGGATTTCTGGCACACTGCATTGTTTTGTTTTGTACCAGAGATAGGGTTCCTGTGTATATTCTACTTCTAAATGTCCCAGGGAGTCACGTTTGAGAGGATTCTCACTAATACTGGGAGCTTAAAAAAATACCACTGCAACTGAACCAAACTACAAAGTCATGGCCTAAATGTAAAGAAATTTAACAGTATTCACAAATAAGATGCTTTATTTAGCAATGTATTGAAACCCAAGGAATTTTTTCCTTCCAGCTAGTCCAGACTTTCTTTTGCTACAAGCTCCCGTTTTACATAGTGAAGCATGATACAAAATACCTGAAGATGGGGTTGACTTCAAACACCACTTAAGAGTGTTGTGCTGCTTTGCAAAAGCACCTTACAGCCCCATTAAAGAACATTCCAAAATGTGAATAGCTCAGCAAAAACTTAAACAGCTTCTTTCCTGCCAGCTGGAGGGTCTGCTACCCCAGGAAAATGCTGCTGGCCTATCAGTTGTATTCTGTGAAGGGACAGCCATTCTTCATTCAATGCAATGGAAGAGTTACCTGCATTAGGAATGAAATCACATAATGTAAACTAAAAGAATGACAAACTAAACACACAGAATTGAGCTAATCTTAAAATGATTGTTGTTTAATGAATTTGAGATTTACATTAACTAGTCTCCCATACACTACAGACTTTTATTACAGAAACACTTAAGAGATGCTTTTTCAGAGGAGTCTCTAAATGAACTCTGCTCACAGATCTTGAGCAGTGAAGAAAAAATGAAATCTAGGAAGTGAAGAGAAAACAGCTCTTTCCTCTTTGATGCAAGCATAGATAGCAAATGCTGACTTATAATTAGGAATTTCCTTAGCAGCAGCTGCCTGACCATATACTTCATAGTCACCAACAAGGAAAAACAAAGAAAAGAAAGATGTGACCTCCTGTAAGGTCAGCAGTACACTGACAGTTATCCTAGAAAATGGAATGGGAATTTTCTCCAGATGACAAAAGGACAATTAAAGAAATAGCAAATGTTACAAGAAGAGGACTTCTGAGATTTTCTTTAACAGAGAGTTCCAAGACTGAACAAAATTTAAATGCACATAGCAAGATACAGCCTCTATGCCATTGCAGATGAACCCTTCAGGCTAAGCACTTATATTTTCTGATAACACCACTGTAAATTCTTAAATTAAAAATAAATAAATAACATCAAGAAGTGTTTCAGAAAAGCACAGAAACTGGTACAAATTTCTGGGGAAAATAATCCTACAGTATGCATGACTGAAGAAGGCCCAAAGACAAGCTCTTTCCAAGCTTTCAAAGGGCTTTCCACAAAGCTCTTTCGAAGCTAGCAGACAAAATGAAATACCAAACTGCACCGAAGAGATGCTAAAAACTCAGAATTCTAGTCCTTAACACAGTACCCCACCTTCACTTGTAGCAAGGGATAAACACTGTCATTCGAGAAACCCTTCTTAAAGTGTTTTATGAACACACACTGCTATCCTTTTTTTGGGATACCAAAAAAAATCCCAATTGCTACTATAATCAGATCAGGTGGAAATAGAAAAAAATCTATGAAAACTCTCTGAGAGAAGGAAGGTTTAAGAAGACGACTACTCTTTTTTAGAGCAAGCGAAGCATGGATTCCAAACTTAAATAAAACATTTGCCAGAGGAGGAAACCGACCACAAAGGAAAGCTTCCAAAGCCTCACAAGAGGCAGGAAACTCCTGAGTACCACAGTGAGGGAATACTGGCAGTATTCGAGGCCAAAGCATTAATTTACATAACAAATACAGAACATTTGAATAACAAGCACGCTTCACAAGCTGTGAACTAAGCAGTACCTCACTGAAGTTGTTTTAAGAGTAATTTGTACGTGGTGGCTATACAGTAATCCAAGAAACACTGAAATGAGGTTTCACTAAGCAACAGTATGCAAACTGCTTTATTTTGTACTTTTTATGAATATTTTGATAGGTTAGACTGAATATTCATGTATTCAAATCACAAGCTATACTCCAAAATATCAAGGGGAAAAAAGCAAAAAATCTAAATTTAGGTTATAAAGCTCAAGAGTTGTTTTCAGAGCTCAATGCACATCTCTGCACTTCACTAATGCCAATAATACATTCACAAGCACTTTCTGCCAGGAAGCAAAACAGCACTGCTGCTCTGTTCATTCACATACTAATGCCTAGCATGGCTTAAGCTGACAGCTGCATTGAGTCTATTTATTTATTCATTTATTACTGGCTTTTCAATTCAGCAAACTGGAAGGTTTCCTACTTCTAGAAAGGCCTTTAGAGTTTGCTGTATTGGCAAACACAAATACTGCCCCATCAGAGACAGATGACAGACTTCTAATAACATGTCTGGGAAAATTTTCTAAACACTACTCAACTACATTTATACTTGAGGGAAGAAGGAATTATCTTTTCTACTTTTTGCAACTCGGAAGCTAAAGGAAAAGCTTGCAAGATCATCTACATTTTCCAAAAAGGATTTTGCAAAGATTTTTCTTCATTTGTAGTGTTTCAGAAAAATAAAAAATGAACACCCAATTACCACTAACTTAAAGGACAAAACAGTATTTATTAAGTAAAATTTTACACTTCACCCTAATTATTGGGCAAAATAGTTATAAAAAATTCATTAAAAGTGAAGTTTAACCTTAGAAAATACTGTGTTTAAAACAACAAATAAGAATCTTCAAAACACCAAAGACTAAAGAAAACATGTCCAAAAAAGACAAAGTGCAACCCATGCAATATTTTTCTTCTGCTTTTAATTTAACTCAAACTTAGCATAACCTCCTTTGGGTGATGTAGTAATGCAGACTGAGTCACTTTTCATGGTATGGAGGAGCAGAAAGCAATGACAGCAGCAAAGGCAGGCCTTGCAGTCTATCTGCTTAAAATTCACACCCTTTCACCTTGCATGTGTGTGGAAGAAGTAAGTGGAACAGAAAATCACTTCCACCTGGACCACTGCTTCTCTTTATCTGTTAAAGGCACATATATCACTCCCATCAGAGGCTTCATTTTGACACTGCCATCTTCTAGTTTGTCATACTGTTCGAGCATCTGGTTTCCCCCAGCAGGGCCAACTGGTAATATCAATCTTCCGCCAGGTTTTAACTGGTCTATAAGCTAGAACACAACACAGAAATTAGAATGTAACCAGCCACTTCAGAGAAGCTGGATCCAAAGTTTGTTACAGTAGATTAATAGCTTTGCCATTATGTATTTATCTACTTTTAAGCAGTAGATAACTACTTCCATTAGGAAAAATAAAAAGTGCACTGAAAATGAGAGTATCACAGCAACATGGTACAACAACTGGTATTACAGTAAAATAATTTAATTAACTGGGTAGGTTGCAGTTTTATTTTCTATATATGTGGGGGAAACATGTAAATCACAAATTATTTTTACAACAGATTCAATCTTTTGAAATTGTTTAACTGTTCAATAGTTATTGTGCATCAGTACAGGCCCATTGTCAAAAATTCTGGGGATAACTGATCTCCCCTTAAGCCCTCAGAATAAGATTTGAGATTGGTGACTTTTCATTATTTCTCTTCCTGGAAAAATTTTGTCTACAACACACTCACTATCCAACAGCTCCTCTTTCATTCTGTGAATTGAACAGCCTTTTGTGAAACTAGTCTAAAATATATGAATACGACTAAGATAAGTGACACATAAACATAGTATGTGAGAAAAGCTTGCACTTTTTTTCTATAGTTAAAGGAGGCTAATCACAATAGTCTCAAGGAAAATTTCATACTTCCCAGACGTCATGAAAAAAACCACTTAATCCCCATTGCTAACAAAAGTTATAATTAAGAACTGTTTCATTTACAAATAAGCTTTCAACTACTTTTTTAATTGTCATCTGTCAACATTTTGCTGGGAACATCCTCCCGCACATCCCCACCAAAAAAAACCAAAAACAACAAAAAACCTCAAACAACAAAACTCAAACAAATAAATTCCCCTCAAAAAAACAAACTAAAAATATAACCTACTTTAAAAACATGAAGTAAAAAAAAAACCCCACCACCACTGGTCATAGATTGGACATTTCCAAACAATCTCTAGCACATCAAAGCCCAGTCTTTCACTATCCCTCACTAAGATTTAAAAACCTTAACTGGCATCTAGCATATAGAAATCATGCTATGTATTACCATGTGCCTGATGAAAGGAAGAGAAAAAAAAAACTTATCTGTAAAAATGGACTATATATGTATGCACACTCTAAAGCTCCTAGTTACTCTTCAGCTTCTCTAGTGAGAACTGCCCTGTATCCGTTCTGAAACCTACGAACAAATGGCACTGTTTGTACTTCCAGTTGAGCATTTTATTTTCAACAGACTCAGTGCTTTGGAACTTGGGAAACACACCTAAATTTTGTAACTCATTGTTTGATAAAATTGAATTATCTTATTACATAAAATGCTCCAGTTCATTGTTGTAATAGAGGGTTGCACACATGTCATTTTAAAATATGTTTATTTAGAGCAGAGTTATTAGAACATACAGCTTTATCGAACCAACAGGAAGCCCAATTGTAACAGAGACAAAAACCCCACACCATACAGTAATACCACACTGCCCACTGATACTCCCAGCAGTGCAAGCTACCAAGTATTTTACATAGAGATGTATGCAAAGCATTCTCTACAGCTAAGATATTACAGAAACACACACACAGAACATAAAGGCTTACTGCTTGGGGCACAACTGGGGCTGCAGCTCCAACATGAATTGCATCATAGGGAGCTTCTTCTGCATATCCCATTCGTCCATCTCCCACTGCAAGAAAACACTATTTTTTAAAACATTTTCAAAAGGACTGAGAAAACAGCTGGTTTCCCATATCTACATATAAAAAATGAACACATTTGTAAAATAAATGCAACAAAACACCCTTATATGTGCATACACATGCTTATAAAACATACTAAATAATATTGAAGCAACTGAAATTAGAAAGCATGGATTTATAATGAAAGTTCTTGGAAACACATGGTCCACCTAGAAAAGAGACTAAAGTATTTATGTTCCCTACCAATTCCAGTGCAGGTGAGTTTCCCCCCTCATTTACCCTCTTAGAACATACACTTTGCTTTGTCTTGTCTTCCTGCACACCATTCCTAAATAAAATGCAAATCATAAGTCCAAAGCATTAAATGTCAGAAGCACATATCAGAAGACTCCAAAGGTGAGGAAAACACAAAGGAAGTGTTCTCATGGACTATATGCCTACAACCGCACTACCAGTTGGAACAAAAGCCCACACCTATATGCATACATTAATGCAGTACTGCAGTAACCTCTGCACACCCCACGTTCCAGCAGATGGGCCTCACTATTCTCCCTGCAGACAATCACTGCTAACACAGAGAGCCAGGTCAGATTCATGGCTAAAGCTCCAGGTGGTTGCTTGGAAGATGCTAGGAGCAATTAAGGTTACCAGTGCTGCTTGAGCTTTGGTGGAGAACCCATGGAGAAGCACTCTATCACAAATGTCTCATACAATCCCAGTTATACAGAAGGAAAGAGTAACAGTTTGGTGTTTTTAAGCCAATGAAATGTGACAAACTAAACTGGACCTTGAGTTAAGTTTTGAAAGAAGACTATATGAATATGGCATCCACAGTATTTACAGGAAAGCAACAGGAAATCAGAGCAAGTTAGGCAGGCTCTCTCTGGAGTTATTTAGAACAAATGTAAAAAATGAGGCTGAAGCATCCATAAATTCATACTCTGTGATTACAGAAGTTCCAATAATCAGTCAAGAAGAAAAAACATAGAGGTTGGTGCTCTGATCAGCACAAGTAATTTGGGGCTTCCCATCTTTAGGCTGAGCTTAGACTTCTGTGCAAACACCAGTATCACAGGTTAATTAAAACTGAAAGTCAAAGGAAGTGCTACACCCTAGTCAGAGGCTGAAAATCTGTTAACTTTTTGCATTCCAAAAACTCACATGGCAGGAAAAAAACATGGTCATCACAGCAGGTTTCACTTTGACCTCCATGATAAGGAAGGCCATCTGAACAGTAAGAGCACCCTTTGGTATCCAAGACAGTACAGGAAGACCTGGACAGCTCTTCAAAACAATTAAAACTGAAGTCTTCATCATCTTTCTTATGAGGTCCTGAAAGATGACCCTGGCTAGGACCTTCTGCATCCACACTCTTTAAGAGAGCACATTTCCTCAGAATCTGAGAAGCCTCTTAGAGGTCAGTGACATATAACAAATACTGGTTAAATACAATCATAAACAATGACATAAATACAATGAATTCTGACCAGCACAAGCTCCAACCAAGGGCCACAAGCAAAAGCTGCCAAGCAAGAAGTACCAGTGCTTCAGGAGATCTCATCCCTATTGATCAGCATTTCCACTAAGTCAGATGGCAACAGAGATCACCAGTAATGAAAGCTCCAGTATTTCCAGGGTGTAATCCCTCTGACTGCCAAAGTGGGTCCTACTGGAACAAACACCTCTATGCAGCCAAGCATATAATTTTTACTTACATCTTAACAGCACTGTAAAACTCTTCTAAAGAAGAAGAAGCAGCAATGATGTGTTACTAAATCAAGCTGCTGTTCCATCAGAGATGGCAACGGAGAAAGGCTTCTTTAGCTTATTCATACAGATACTGCTAAAAATTATGTTAGTAACACAACAGAGGCAGAGTCTCATCCCCCAGGGTGCACAGCAGGCATTAGAAGCAGCGGTCTCCAGTATTGCTGGCAAAAGAAGTGATTGCCAAGAGGAAGAAGCAGCTGTGAAAGAAATTGCTGTCACTTCTGAAGAAGAAAAAATGTATTCTGAGACATAAATGTCCCCAGTGCACTCTCCAGAGAAGTTGGAATGTGACTTCTGCACATCTTACCACTTCACTGACAGCAGTAAAACAGATCCAAAAACAACTAATCCCTTGGTTCCCGGAATCAATAGCTAACATCTTCAAAAACAGCACACACCCAAAGGGGTAAAAAAAAAAATCATGCTCCTTCATATGCATCACGCACAGCATGGTTCTTCCCTTCTAAAATCCACAAAATTTCTTATAGAAGAAATATATCCACCCACAATGGCAACACAGTTTTAGATACCCAGAACATTTAAAAAATAACTATTTTTATTAAGTTGGCATTCATATATTCAATGTCATTCAAATTATTATATTATTCAATGTCCAAGGGGAAAGCGCAGCCCAAATTTTCAGCCTGTGTTTACATCCTGAATGTCCCCTATCCTACTCACATCTCCAGTTACATGCAGCCTGTTAGTAAAGTAATTGTGGTGGAGGGTGGTAGGTGGTGATGAGGAAAAATGTCAGGACATTTTGATATAAAGGGTTCTGCAGCTTGATTATAAATCTAGACCTGATTTGCTGATCACAGTATCCAAGCCTTCTATGCAGACCTGTTTCACACAGAGCTGTAGCATGAGCACAGAAACAGAATAAAATTACTTCCCTCAGTCATTTAGAATCCCTCATCCCCGCTGGCTATGGCTGCATCAGCAAATAGTGCAGTACAATAGAGGCAGATCTGTACAGCAAAAGTTTTTTCTGAGAACCTGGCATCCATGCAACATATGCATTTCAGGATAATCACTGCAGCCTAGATCTAAGTCTTATTGTCTTAATATGCACATATCAAACATATTTGGCTGCTTCTTGGAAAATAATCTTGTCTAGTTTCATCCAAAAGGAATCAAATTTTGTGCTTTCCAGGAGTACTCTCATGTGAGCCAAAGAGTGGTAAGCAGAAGCACTTGAGAGATTCACCTCAAAGGCTTCCTCCTGATATTAAGAGGAAACAAAATAAAAATCAAGTTATTAAAAAAAAAAGCCAAAAGACCTGCAAATTAACAAAAAGACATGTTAATCCAAGTATACCTATTCCAAATTTCTCAGTGCAGTTCTACTGAGACACCCCAAAATAATTTTGGTGTTCCTGAAATGCAGTTATGGTATATGTGAGATATGACAAAGCAGAGTACAATGTCTGAAGCACACTGTGGAAAGCCAGCAACGGACACACCAGGTCTTATTTCATACAGTTCCCATCGTCAATCAACTGTTTTTCGTAACTTTTTTGTTTGTGTGTTTGGGATGGGGGGTTTTGGGTAGGGTTTTCTGTTGCTGTGTTTTTGTTTTAAATTAACAGCTGTCTGGATTCTTGCTCCACATCAAAGAGCTCCCAGGAATCCAACACAGTTGAAACATTGTTCTCAGCCTAATTCACAGAAGTATTACTTGCCCATCTGTACTTTTTAAAAATGTACCTCACAACAAAACTATCCAGAAGTCTCTTAGTCACCCTGCTACATAGTCAAAAATAATACAATGATGCTTACTTAGAATTCCAGACTTGCAAGACCTCCAGAGTTTGTTTGAAGAACAACCAGAAGCATAAGTCAAAATTGCTTTTGTACAATACCAGTGGAAATTATTCCCTCATTCCCCCTCTACAGCCCTAGCAGTCTAACTTCTTTTCCAAAAAGTTCTGAGACATATGTGTTCTCAGTGAGATACATTGCATTTTATACATGTGTACGTGTTGATAAACTAATTTAAAAAACATTTAGAAAAGTCCCTCATTTACAAGAAAAGACCAAGAATCAAAATGGTAGTTAAGCTAAGAGCCAAACATCACATAATAATAATTTCTCCAAGTGTTCTTGTAAGAAGCCTCAAAAAACATCCAGCCCTTCAACCTCTTTTTTTAACTTAGTGAATAGAATGACACTTATGCCTTGCCAGCCTTGCATATACTAAGAAAAACAAACAACAACCAAACAAAAAATCCCAAACAAACAACGGGGGAAAAAAAAAAAACAACAAACCCTAATCTTTTTTTTTTTTTTAAGTAAAAAACCTCATTATTTAAAATAATTCACTGTCCTGCTATCATTTGGGCATTATTTTGCCTTGCCAGACTTGCATATTCTAAGAAAAAACAAACAACAACCAAACAAAAAATCCCAAACAAACAACGGGGGAAAAAAAAACCAAAAAAAATCCCTAATTTTTTTTTCTTTAAGTAAAAAAAAAACATTATTTAAAATAATTCACTGTCCTGCTATCATTTGGGCATTATTTCCTCTCAGTTACTCTAACTGAATTAATGTACTTTGGTGTCAAGCACTTCCCTAACTACTGTCAATTTTAAAAACAAGTGAAATAAACATCTCTGGTGCATACTGCCAATCTAGTACTTTTTCCACTTGAATCTTCACATGCAGCTTTCTCAACCACCCTATCAGAAGTGTGAAGGCTTTGTTATAACACTCAAATTCAGATGACAGGGTATTTATTCAAGAACAGTTGTGAATTCAACCCCAATTTTAAATAGCAAACATAACATGACAGACTTTCAGCATGTATTTTCACCAAAAAAAACACTCCCCTATTAAGTTTTTCTAGTAGAATGATTACATAGTCTTTGAGATCACCAGAAGTCATAGTCTGAAAACTGGGGGAAGATACTGATTTTCAAAGGCCTAAAGACAATTTAAATTTTAAAGTTTTCATTTGGCTTCTCTTTCTTGGGTTCGGCTTATTAAATTCAAACTTTTAATAACATCCAATTCAGTCATTTTCAACCAGCTGCTAGAAAGAATATCAGTTTAATTAGTAAGTATATCAGTCTGATGCTCACCAATCAGTTTCACTCTTCCTGAAGACAGCAATGTGGGATCGTCTTTTTTGACATTATTTATTGAGTCATCTACTAGTTCTTTGATATGATCAATTCCTACAACTTGTCCTTTGGGACCAACCTGGAATAAAAATATACAGTTGAACAATTTCTGCTAGCTTTATTTACAGAATGAGTACTTATACTTCCTGACCTCATTTCTCTAAAATAAAAACAAAAACAGGAAAGTGGAAGTATATTTTCCCAATGTTATTAAAACTACTGTTAGAAATGACAAATTCTGAATCCTAGAAGCACCTGATAATTAAAGTGTGTCTGCACAGTTTTATAAATACTTGTTACAGAGATGTTCTTGAGATGTGATTCAGTTATGTTATATTGTTAGTGGAGATTTCTTCTTGGAATTTTTAGAAGTTAAATTTGATCATGATTGTTTTCATTATCTGCAATAAAAAGTAACAACATCAAAGACAAAGACTAGAACTGATCTCTTTTCACACTGAATAAAACTTATTAAGGATTAGGGTTTTTCTAGAGAAGACCTTACTTCAAGAATTAAATAATGATTTTTATACAAAATTGTCCTAAGAGTCCTATTCTTCCAGAAGCAAATGCTGCAATTACCAGTCACGGACAAATTACCTTCCACTCACCCTTGCATTCATGAATCTGCTTTCAGATTTACAGCTCTGCTCCACAGGAAGAGTGGAACTTAACTCAAAAAAGGTCACAAAATTTCTGTATTCTGAGAGGAAAAAAAGATCTAACAAAAATTTCTCCATTACAGGAATTTCTTCCAGAATTTTGTCTTTAGTCCAGAAAAAAAATTCAAAACCAATCCAAATCTTTAAAAATCTGACCACTTTTAACAGGATCCAGCTCAAAGACCACAATAGCAGAGTACGTCCTAGCAAAGCCCATGTTGCCTAACAACTGTCTTTGGACACATCTAAACGCATTGTTTATGTTTCTGTATCTTACATTTTAATATTGTTACGACATGAAAAATTAGTAACTGGGGTTACTGGTTATCCTGGGGAATTTTTTTTTGTTTTATTATGAACAAGTCCTATGTTAAAAACATTTAAAAAGCAGTGTTAGCTTTTCTTGTTTGAGGGGAAGACCACCACCCCAGCCTTTGAAACAGAGCAAGACACAGAGCAAGTTTTCACTATGACAGCCATGGGTTGCTGTTTCGAGGAATGCCTGGCAGCCAAATTTACCATAAGCTGGCAAAAGATCCAGTATATTCCAAACAGTAACATCAGTAAAACGAAAATTTAGCAAAATGGTCAGAGCATGAAATAGCCTGAAAGTAAGAGAACCTCCTGCTGCATGTGACAGCCCATTATGCTATTTCTGAGTCCTCATCAGTTGTCTTTATTACGCTGGAACTGTGAAGCACATGCAACTGAGACAACACAAAAAGGCACAATTTTTTGATCTCTATGTTAGGAATAAAAATATACCCAACTTTTTTCATAAATCCAGTACTGACAGGATGAAAACTGTAATTAATTTAATTTGCCAGCAACCTTCAAAAGTAAATAAACTTATCTACATAGCTTGCAAAATTATCCCAGAACTTTAACATGAAAATCTAAACAACAATCTTCAAGAAACTTTACTAGTCTAAGTAAACATAAAGCTTTCCCAGAGGTACCACAAATGACATTATCATCATAAGAGTACAGCTGTCATCTATGAGCACTGAGGCGCTTGTGCCACAAATGTGAGCTACTAATTCTAGATCTCAATTAGACTGAGAAGCAACATTAGCATAGTCACAAAAAGCACATCTAAAACTGAATTTTTATGGCAAAACACTCTACCATTGATTCCTATAATATACTTTGTCCTGGGGTGATTTTATGATGCTTGCATCCCCAGTCGTCGGTAACTTCTTTCAAGTTTTTGTTACTGTTAGCAGTGCTACCAAGCAGAATGAAAGCATGTACTCAATTTTTCATGACACATGTCTGTAAGCCATTCCAATGCAAACAATAAAGGAGGATTCATAAGAGGCACATGACATTCATATGGCAAAAATAAGAGAGAGGGATTAACTTCAGGAAATTTGGGAAGAGATTTCCTTTTTGGGCTGATTCTGACTTCTCCACAGCTTGTTTTAGTAGAAAAAAGTGCAAAACTACAATTTAGCAAATCCTATGGAAAATGGCTATTCCTTTATGCATTCATAACTGCAGTGAGAAATATATATAGCCTGGACAAAAGTTTTAATGCTTGTAGGATTGGCATTCTTATGCTAGCATTTGATTACTGACTTCAAGACCAAAAATAACAGGCAGCCAGTTGAATCAAGTGCCATCTAAGTCTTTTTCTAAACTGCAGTTTGGTTAACTTATTTCAACTACTTTTTTTTTTCCCAGATTTTGCAGCTAACACTTAGAAACCTAAATACTTTTGCAAGTGCATTGCCCAGTCCTAAACACTCTCAGCTAACTCTTAACACTGGGAAACAGAAGTGATTGCAGAGTCAGACTGGTGCTTGAAAACAGAAAACTAAGTAGCAAAGAAACCTAAATGAGAAATTATCATATGTATCAATACATCTCAAATCAACTTGGCAGAAAGACAAAACAAAAAATCTAGTTGGCAATTTAATGAAAGTCTCTACTAATCATAAAGCAATTATAAAGCCCTGGAACAGAGAAAGAAAATTATTCCTCTTCATTAATCAGTCTAAGAATACAAGAGCTACAGCCACTAAAACCCATATTTTTTTATCTTTTTTATTTTTTCATCTTTTTTTTCCCAACGTAAGGTAGGGAAGAACACAGAAAATTCCTTAGATACAGGCTGAATAACACAACTGAGATTAAGTTACTTGGCAAAGACGTAAAATTCAAATTAATATCTAACATAAAAAAGGTTAAATAGACACTTATAGTAATGCTTGTGCAATATAACAAGAAAGCAATTAAATTCAAAGACAATTTATTATATACACAAGATATTTTCCTGTAGAAATAAGACTCTTTTATGCCTCACTAAGCTCTCATTGTAACAGGATTGCATGTCAATTTATCACAATGAGAACATTCACAGCCATACAAGATAACAAAATTTGAAGTGTTCAAGACAAACGTCTTCCTTCAAGATATACAGCAACAACTAAAATTCAATCATTAGAAAATCTCCAAAACAATTCAAAAACCCTAAACTTCCTCACTAGGGGGTTTCTTTCACCATTACACAATTTATTGGTCTATTTAACTTGAACATCTACTATAAGCTACCATAAGAAATAGGAACAATCACACCCAGGAGAGTAAATTATTTTCTGTGTAATATACTTCAGTCACCTATGAAGGATGCTTTTTTTTGCCCTGTAATTCAGAGTTATACTCGAGTCCAAGCAGTTTTGATGATCAAGTGATTAAACCAAACAACTCACCATTCGTGAAAAGCATGCTGTAAGAATTCCACTTCCAGATCCTACATCAAGTGCTTTGGCTCCTTCATGTAGCTGATCAGATAGAAGTTCAAGTGCATACGCATGCTAAGAGAACACAGAGAGAGAAAATTTCAAATTATTTTAAGTGTCTGTTTTACTCAATATTTGTTAATTTCTTCAGAGATTTTGGGAAATGCCCTGAGCATTTCTGTAAGAAATTTCAGAATCATTTCTATTGCAAAAATGGAGGGAAGGGGACGCGGGGGGCAGGTTAACTGCATTACATAATAATTGTTATTTCATTGGTTTCAACAAATTTCATTAATGTATTTTTTTATTAATATTCATATACAAAGACTCATCTTCTAGCACAGACTCTATTTATATATTAAGAAAAACACTATAAATCAGTTTATTTCTCCTCAGGTCTGGTGACTCTTAATATTCTAGCAGTAGATAGCCAATAAAGAATTTAGTTTATCATTATGCTATATGCATTGGAATATTCTGGTACAAAAGCTAACTAGGAAGAAGGCAGCTCTAGAGCATCAAGGAAAACGGCTATTAAAACACCTCCTGTATTACCTGCACACTTGCTGAATCAAAGAATAGCAAAAAGATGTATTCTCTTATAAAGGCAGATAGCCAGGCTCACTGATGAAATGCAGTAGTCTATAGACACCATTGATAACTTTTGCTTTGCTATGTGGTGGACCAGTACACAAACTAAGTGTAGTCTGCACACTAAAAAACCAATTTGTTCTTTCATGTTTCAGAGATAGCCATTACCACACTCTTACAGCTTAATCCATCCCACCCAGAAAATATAAATAATTAGAATATTCTCTGTTAGAACATTCTTTGTTAATATTTGCTTAGAGGATATATTACCTTTTTGCTCTAACACTTCATATACTGCTAGTGCTAAGCATTGGAAAAATAATGACTTAAGGGACTTAAAATTTTGAAGCATAATTAATCCTTATTTTTCCCCTTAGAAACAGTACATTTTTTCAGTCTTTTCTTGAATAATATTGTTAACATCTCTATACAAAATTCCTGATTTTTTATATTGATAACTAGGTAAATTCTAAGCCAACTACACAGTTTTTAATCAAGAGAAGCAGACTTTTACTATGTTTTGACACCTTCCAAATGTTGCAAAGACAAAATACTTGCTTCTATTCACCTTTTATCTCAAATAAAGAAACATAGAAAAATTATATCTGGGTTAGATGTATGCACTGAAATCCCAAGTGGAACACTCACCCTGGTCTCAAACCACTTGGCAAAAAAACTTGCAACTCAGTACAATGTATCTTTTTTCCTGTCCAAGGACTTAAAGGCATTACCATAATACTGTACTATAGGAGTCACTGTCATTCACTCCTGAATTCTTATGATTTTATATATTACAAAGTAATTTACAATGGAAAGATCTCTGGAAATCTTCTGGTTCAGTCCTATTTCAATACTGGGCATTTTAAATTAGGCTGCTTAGAACCCTGTTCAGTCAGCTTCTTTGTATATCAAAGAACAGAATTTCCACAAGCTGCAAAGCCTGTTTCAGTGCTTACCCCACCCTCATATTTTTTTAACTCTAGAAACTGATCAGAATTCCTTATGTTACAATTTTTTGCCCACTACTCTTCATCCTATTACTGTACATCTGCAAGAAAAATCTTGATCAATCTTTTCTACTTCCTCACAGTAAGCAGTTCACAAAAGTGTCCCTGTAATCAACTGCTCATTTACTAGGGTAATTTATTAGGTAAATATTTAGTAAGTAAGTATTTTATTTCAAAAGCACCTGGATATTTATAAAATCCCTATACTAATCACCTAGTTTAAAGCTTACCATGTGTGGAGCACTGATTGTTGCTTGGAAACCTGTAAAACAAGAGAATGGAAGATGTTCATTGTTGTTCAGACAGCAACCTTACAATCTTTATTACCTTGACTGTAAATTGCAACACCTTCACTGTCACCCTCATCCAGGGTACAACATTCATACCCCAGCAGTTACACAGGTACTCTACATCAGATGTGAGTTATGGTACCTCAGCTGAAAGCTATGCTGTGTCCACTCTGGACAGGAAAAAAAAAAAAGGGTTTTATCCTTGATCTCAGTTGCAATCTCCATTTTGTCACCATACATTTAAAGAATATCACAAACTGAGCAAGTAGGCTTAATTCAGAAGAGCAGTGTCTCCCAAAATAATGCAATTCCTTTTTAGTCATCTCCTGTGTTTTAGTCATCAGAACCTGAATTTGTTAGTTTGAGTTTCATGTAGTAGAGACCACAGAATATCTGGAGAGCACTCTCATGTGTTTGCAAAAGAAAAAATAAAACAAATAAGAATGGGAGGCACACTCACCTATATTTGTTTTTAGAATATCTGGAGAGCAACCTCATGTGTTTTGCAAACGAAAAAAGAAAACAAATAAGAATGGGAGGCACACTCACCTATATTTAATGAATAACAGAAAACTTTGGAAAACAAATGGAAGAAATTAACTAATTACTTGTATTAAGAGATTATATAAACTACAAATAACTGACATTTCAATGATGGATTGCTTCATTAACTACTTTCTTTAAATAAGGATTTATTTGCAAAATTATACTTTAAAAGGAAAAAAAAAAAACCTGATCATTTAAGTACCATTAATGTCTAACCCAAAACATGAAAATCAGATTATGGAACTTGTGTAAGATTGTCCTGAAGTTGCACCAGTGGGATTTTTTGAAAAAATATGCCCCAAGAATGGGCCAACGTCTGCAGAGACTTTACTGACTGTTTACTGGATGCTCCCAACTACACCTATTAATCATGGGATTTTCCTGTCTTTTTTTCTTATCTACTATCTTCGTCCAGAATTAATTATCCTATACAACATAGACTTGAATTAAGAAAGGAAAATAACTCCTCAGATCATATTCCTTTTTGGTCTGAAGACAAAGTATCACATAGAACTACAAAACAAATATACTATTACTAAGGACAATTTTAAGGAAAACAATTCATTTTTAAAATATATTATTTTTGTAGAAATATTTCTATTATCTGGTAAGTCCCAGAAAAAGCATACACTCCACTCACAGTCCGCACACCTTAGATATATCCTGTTCTTTGACTTCATTTTGAACTGAATACTACAGCAGTTCTAGTTAGAGGAAATTCATTTCAATCTAAGGTTTTAAATCTGAGCCAGCAGGCAGTTGCAGCAGTTCATAAGTTTACTTACTGAGCAAAATTGTACCCAAAAGAAAACAAACAAATCAATCCATTAATACATTGGCACTAACAACAGAGGATAGTGAGGAAAAAAAAGTTTTCCCTGACTACTAGAAATTAGTTGGATCAGTTGTATAGCAGTTCTGTGAACAAATCATAGAAACAAAAAAACCCAAACTTTTAGAGTCTCATTAAGAATCACTAAGAAGTTAGTATTTCCAAATGAAATATACTTTAAAAAAGGAAAATAAGCAAGTCTAATTATAATAGAAGTGAGGACATAAAGGCTCTAGGAGGCTGAAGGGATGTCAAAAAGCAATAGCCAAGAAGTACTCACAAAAGGTCTAAAATAGTGATTTATTTATTTACATGCAGAGAGGCGCACATATTCTAGAACTACAGGTAGCCATCTGCTACACAAAAAGAACAAGCTTCCACCTTGGAAGTGCAACTGCAGGGCCCTATGGTAAGGCCAAGAACCTTCTCTAATTTCACAAAAGCTAGCCCCAGTCAAAGTACATACAACTATCAAATAAGATGCTTACACTGACAGGCAAATTACAAAAAAAAAAAAAAAAACCTTGAAAAGAGAAAGTACTAATATTCTACAGATGTTGGGCATTCAGGATGTTCTCATTCAGCAAACAATCTTGAGATTTGCTGACTGTTGTACTGTCTTTAATTATTGTAATCTTTTTCATCAGTAAATAAGAATTGAAGAAAGTTACCCATACTCAGAACGTGTGGGAGAAGCTGAATCTGCTGTCAGACATTTATTTCAATTATTGAATAACGCTCCGTCCTCAAAAAACAACACCCTCTCAGCTACCCCCCCATAGATTAAGTCTGCTTTTCAAATTTGCTTATTACACAATGGAAACAACATCAAATTTTAGGTGGGAATTAAGAAAAACAATCAAGCCCTAAACAGTAAAGTCATAATTGACTTAGTTGACATTTTTATTGTGTTGACAACAATACGATTTTTTTTTCTTAGTCTCACAGCTGAATATAGAGAAACATAGCAACTGTAAGGTACCGAACTCCAAAAAAGTCCTTTATTTCCTGCAACAGTCAGTCCCATGATAACCAGCTGCCAGGATCTTAATTCTGCCTGAAAGATGTCTCTATCAAATTCTCAATTAAGTCCAGAAAACAAGTGTATCCCCTGAAGAAGCCAATAATAGAAGCTTATATTGCAAAGAAAGCATTCTAATTGCATGCCATCTCTACCAAAAAACCAAAACTATAAAAAAATTAGCTATTAATAAAATGGTAACTAAAACAATTTTCTAAATCTTAAAATGAAGCTGTATACTGCAAGAAAACAGTTAAATGCATAGTAGAATATCCTTTCCAATTATAATGTGCACAGAAATCTCTCCTTGAGGAGACTGTTGGGTTTCAAGAATGATAATCAGTTTGTGCATTATCCTTTGCTTGTAAACACTTTAATCAGATATTAAAGTGTTTACAAGCAAAGGATAATACACAAACACACTGACAGCTTGAAATAAAAAGTAAACTCAAATAAAACAGAGTTATATCAGCACAACTTCCAAGCTTCAAAGGGCTGAAGCTGAAAAGTAAGTACTTAATAGAGGAGCACTGCCTGCCAAGTTCAAGAGTTACTCTGTGCAGAGGCTGTGGCAATGACAACTTGACATAATTGGAGCATGTTTTGAAAACTCTCTCTGGTCTGCCTCTTTTCCACAAATAACACCATGAAAACAGGAAAAGAGCTCAGAGCAGACCTTGGATTTGAAGGTGGGAATATACCACTGTTGAATGTAACCTGGGAAACTGGGCAGTTGGCTGTCAGAGAGCAAGGAAAGAAGAGTCTGAAAAGGCACCATGGACTTGCAACAGGTAAACAACCTATCTTTTTATTTTGTCTTTTATTTAGCAACAAATTCATCACTGAAGTTTCAAAGAATTGCCTACCTCACTGATGGTACCCTGACTGTTGACCAAACACATTTCTAACCAAACCATAAAATACTAGCAGTCAACATTTAACCCAACACTGGCTTCCAGATCAGAAAAGAGGATGTGTCACTACCACATGATCCAGCACACAAGCTTACTATACAAACCATAACACCTACTCAAACTCCTCCTGTGACTGACTATGTATTAAAAAAATTGTCTTGCAGATCCCAAAACCATTTACTACTTCAAGAACCACAAGCAGTGCAACTACTTCAGCATCCACATAGTTCAGATTCTTAGACTACTTTCTCCATAACCACTGCAGAATACTTCACTTAGGAAGATGAATTTTCAGTGAAACAGTGATATTTTGAAATCATACAGAGATCTTAAGGCATGATGCAAAGCACATACAGCTTTATGTTACAAAAGATTCATTTATGTAGATGGAAATTACTGATGTGACAAATCACAGAATGGTTTGGGTTAGAAGAATCCTTCAAGGTCAACAGTTCCTTCGTATGTTGGGGGCCCCAGAGCTAGATGCAGCACTCCAGGTCGAGTCTCACCAGTGCAGAGCAGAGGGGTGGAATTGCCTCCCTTGCCCTGCTGGCCATGACACTTTTGATGCAGGACAGCTTGCTCTGCACAAACTTGCAGAGCGTGCACTTGATCCCACTGTCAATGTCAATGACAATGTTAAACAACACCAGTCCAAGTGCCAACCCCTGAGGAACACCACTCATCACGGTCTACACCTGAACATAGAGCTTTTGACCACAACTATTTTGAGTGCTACCACCCAGCCTTATCTATCAAATGGTCCATCCGTCTAATCCGTGTCTCCCGCTTTTAAAGATATGGATACAGTGCAGGACAGTGTCAAATGACAGTCTCCACCTGACCGATAAAAAACAGCTAGCAGCTTTCCAGAGGAGAATGGGCTGGAACAGAACCACAGCCTGATTTGCAAGCAATGTGAAGATTGTTGGTTTTAAGCACCTGATCAACTGACATTTTTAAAGTCAAGGTCTTTTTGTTTGAGCAGAGGAAGAAAAAAGATGGGAAAGAATGTGGTTCAGTTAATAGAATTTTATTTATTAATGAGCATAGGAAGATTTCACTGTGAAGTATGAACACAAAGAAAGCACTTAGAACAAGAAGTGATGCATCAGCACCCTAAAATCCAGTAACAGACACTGACCCAAACCATACAAAGCTCTTTGTGCTAAATAAATTGAAAGTAGGTGTTTGTAAACAAGTGTTTCTTATACGGCTCATACATGCACATTTCTTGTGCTTTGCTGATAATTTAAGAGCTATCTGCCTCAAACATTCAGCTGTCCATCTATTTTTATTGTGATTTGGATTCACAATATCCAAACATTACCCAAACAGGAGGTTGCATACAACTCACTGGAAGGAATCACTTGAGAGTCTATTGTTCAAAGACATGACAGAAAGACTGCGGAAAGCACAAGTCCATCAGAGTTAATCTTACAGCCCAGAAATGAAACACAAATATCAAGTCCCATGAAAATTCCAAAGTGACAGAAATTTTAAAAAAATGGGAGTAATAGTAATAATAAATATTCAATTACCATTTAAATGCTACTCAAAACCTGCAGAGGTAAAACATTGAAATCATAAGCTAGGCTCAACACAATTGAAGTCTCAAGCTTCATTTAAATACAAACTTACCTGTGAACATTTCACTTT